AAAAAATTAAATAAAATAATAAAAACTTGAGTAGGGTACTATGCAAATAGTTATTCTTCTAAGGACATTGATTGCCAACTTAGATAAACACAGAAAATCTCTTGAAGCATTTCTCCTAATGTCACTATGTTTAGGAATTTGAACTATTTGACTCCTTATAAGAGTCAAATTCGGATACATCAATTTAATAATATTTCTTAATGAGTAATTCTTAGTTAAATTCATCGACAACTTTCTTATTAATGACGAAGAACATTAAGAAATATCTTGTAATATATATTTCCTATCTTTGTATATCTTTCATATTTTGTATATATTTATTTTCTTATTTTAGTTTGAGTCAAATCCTATTAATTGAGAATTGCGACTTCATAATCTTAGTTATAAATAGTCAAAATTGTGTATATTTTCCTCTATATATATATATATATATTCTTCCTCTCTCAATAAAGCATATACAGAAAAACTTCCAATCAATTCTCACTAATTTTCTTAACTTGCTTAGTATTTCCGATGGTATCAAAGCAAAGTTAGAACCATGACAGATGAAAATCAAATACCACAAAAAAAAATCTCTTTTCCAGCATTCAACCAATACCAGTAATATTTTTGTTACGGACTCATCAAACTCATATTTTACTCACGTTCAGATCATCCTAATTATATGCTCATTCTAATAAAATTGAATGGATCCAATTATCAATCATGGAGTAAATCCATGCTTCACGCTCTCACGACCAAGAACAAAATCGGCTTCATCAATGAAACAATTGAATCACCTTTAGAAATCAAAGATCCTACAAATTATGCTTTATGGAATCAATATAATAACATGATTTTATCATGACTCACTCACTTTGTAGAACATGACTTAGTAAGGGAGTCGTTCATGCCAAAATAACTCATCAAGTTTGGAAAGATTTCAAAGATCAGTTTGCTCAAAAAATGCTCCGGCAATCTATCAAATCCAAAAATGATTGGCTTATTTCTCTCAAGGCACTATGTCAGTGTCTGCTTATTTTATAAAACTTAAAAGTCTTTTATAATACCCTAATTAATTTTAATTGTAGTTGAAATTAATTAATAAATATAATTTTTTAATTTTTATTTAAGGTAAAAATGAAGAAAATTAAATGGAGGATGAAATTGAAAACAATTTTGAGAAAAAAGGGTATAAATTTGGTTCTAAAAGTGTTTTTAAAATAAAAATTAAAAACTGGGGGTCAAAACACAATTTAAAAAAATTGTATTCATTTTATGCATGTTTTGCTTGTTTTATGTGATTACGGTTGAATTGGAAAACTAAGAATTAAAGGTAAACGAAAATTTATTTGATTAAGTGGATGAATGAAACGACAGCCTTACTGGATATTTTGGGAGATAGTAGACGGATCGGGTACATTGGGAACCCTACCGTGAACGTTGCCTCATACCGGACGGGGTATCAAGGTTTGGTAATTTAGTGTTCATACTGGACGAGGTATGTGGACGGTCCGTTTCACCCTCATACCGGATGGAGTATTAAGGGATGATATCTTTTGGCGCCCATATCAAACGGGTATGAGAACGACCCGTTAATTGAAAATGTAAAAAAAATAGGGTTCACGCGTAGTGGGGGCATCCCTATGGACCCCTATAGATACTAGTAGACTGATAAAAGGGAAGGTTGTTATTCCGACTGATTGTACATAAAATTATGATATGTGTTATGTTATTGACTCTATAGGTTATTTTTGAAAATTTCGCTACGGTAAGTATGCGATAAATGATTTTATTTATGATAAACGAATTTACTTAAATTAAGAGCTCTATTAGTTGTTTTTATGATTTTTACCAACTTTTATTTCTGTGTCGATGAGTAGTGTGATATTCTTATTAGGTTAGTATAATTCACTATTTCATTAACCATTTCAGATCAAGAGAACTAGAATCCAGAGCTCGATCTATAAGAGGGTTGCGAGTAGAACGTTCAGTTTATTTACTTTTAATTTATTTCTTTGTTTATTAGTTGTTATTTAGAAGGGTTATTCCTGTAAGCTTTATTTGTTATTTTCAGTTATTGGGCAA